TTGTATACAAATGAAGAAAAGGCCGAGAGAATAGTCACGCAAAACGGGTCAAACAAATATTATAAAGACCGCAATAAACTGTTTTAAGCATCTAACTATAAACTGGGCACAAATGATTTTTCCCATCTTTACAACCACAGTATACATACAGACATAGCATGCATTTTCTACCTTTTCATTTTAATGCAGAAATTCTCCAAAATGTTCCTTTATTCTAAATATATGCAGTTTTCGCATAACACGTGATCCAGAAACCGTTGGTTTTAGTTCTAGCTGTCTCTGTTATTCTCTAGAGATACCCGTTTCTCCCAAGGGTGGGATATTCCCTCAACTCTGGACCTTGTAAAACAATGTAAACAACAGCAGTGTCTTTCACTGGTAGGAGGTATGATATTGAGAGGTTATGGCCTCCCCTATTTTGAATGAGAATGACCAATCACGTGGTAGCGCTAGTTGCTATATGTAAATTTGACGTTTCCCGCTAAGTAAAAAAATTTATACACTTAACCAACTCACTTGAAATCTTGTGTAGTACTGTTTGACGGAAAAGCATCTTTAGGGAGGAAAATCTGTTAACTAATTCACGAGTCCGGTAGGAGGCGACTGCCCAGCATGCATGCAGATCGTGTTGTGTGTCCCTGGTTTAATAACAATCGTTTCCCTTTTCTATCAAACATGATGTACAGTCTCTTTATTTCTTAGCTTCAAACTCAACTTAAACTAACATGCATATTTGAGCTCTTTATTAATAAGAGTTTAAACAAATGATTTTTAATGAAAGAATGGCTCATTGGTGAGAGGTAGAGTTTGCTGCTGGAGAGAAACAATTGTATGATAGAGGTGCTGAATTTAAGAGAAGTCCTCTTCTGAACACAGGATATTTGCTGATGTTGCGAATGTCCCTAATGTCAATCTCTCTTCAAAAGAAAACTATGGAAGATCTGCCAACATCTGGTGTACTCAGATGGCAGAGTGGGGATTGCCTCTGAGGACTGATCTCTGCACTAAGAAAGCAAGAATGGAGGTTTCCAGGGTGGTATTGTGCCAGGTGAGTCTGAGACCATCTGGGGTGGTCTTTACAGGACTCCAAGGACATCAAAAGTTAGAGTAACAACCCCAGCGCTGTTCAAGACAAACATAAAAGGATTGAACTTACTGCTGGTGGATGAATGTCAATCAGAGCCGTTTCCATGGGATGTGAAACAGTAAAGATAAACAGGAAAATACTTTGGTCAATGAGGCAGTCGTGAACCTCTGCAAGCCAGAAAAAATCCTACCAGGGTGACTATGAATTATGAGGAAGACAAGTGTTGTGCAGAGTGTCAGGATACTATGTTGAGAAAAACTGGACCAGGAACTGACTATTGTCCGAGTGTTGGAATCCTATAATGTACCCACTTCCCTGCATTTGTGACACAGGCAACATCTCAGCCAGGCACTGTCCGAGAAACTGTAAAAGAGAGGCTTTAATGAACACCACAGGTCCCTGCGAGTGAAGCCAAGTAAATTTCGCCAATGATGCTCAAAGATAAGGTGAAAGAAGAACTGGATAATTTTCCGAAGCTTTGCAGGCAGGTAACTGCTTGGAATGAGTGGACTCGGGAGAAGGCAGTCTAATGTCTATTCCTCAGCTTAGATGGTCCAGCCCTGAACTAGGTTCAACAATAAGACTGAGACACATTCATTGCCTAGCTGTGTAACTGATTGGATCCAGTGGACAATCAAGCAATCCATCGAGCAGAATTCAAGGCTCAGAAGAGAAGTGTCATCAAGAATGTGGAACTTTATATGGATGATCTACATCATAGTGAAACTTATCCTGTGATGCTTCAACACATTGCCAAGTCATACTGGTGGATAAGTTCACTGAAGAACTTCTTGGCGAGACAATTAAGCACCACTTGGGTGTAAGGAACATCCTCACCCTAACCAAGACGGTTTCTATTGCAACCAGATATGAATAGGTAACTTTGGGTTGGTTGTTGGAGGGGAAGAAGCCTGCCGAGGGTTAACCAGCCACCTACATGTCCAAGTGCTACAATGCAACAATGATTTCCAGTGAATAGGCAGGGCTGTCCCCGTACTGCCGTGGTTTACATGCTGCAGTCAATGCTGATGACGTCTCCACCTTCAAATAATTCGGGAGTACATGTTGGGTCAATTGTGGATGAACTGCCTGTATTTTGCTTAGCAGTAATGGCAACAAGGCTAACAGTTCCAATGAATGACTCACATGTGCCAGAGAACTAGCAACACCTGTATTTCGCCAAGCAGAAAAGCAAGCAATGCTACTGGTTTCAACCAACAGTTCAACAGGCTCAAAATAATCAAAAGCAAATGGTAACACTGCCACAGCTCTGGAAGACCCAAAACTCCCAAGGCTGGGTGGAACTTGATACCTACCTATGAGGGTAAAAGGTCGAGAGATCAAGTTCCCGATTGACGTGGGAGCAACCAGAACACTGGTAAATCTTGCGATATTTCAAAACCTCTAAATGAGACCGCCACTCTGGTCAGTAAATAACTTTGTTCTGGCAAATGGCAATAGACTAGATGTAAGTGAAGAGGGAGATTTCTTGTGTCAAGGAAACGTCACTCATAGAATTGACATCCTTGACAACGATATACTGCAGAAATTCTAGGTAAGTTTTGCTTGTACAACTGGGGGACTGGTGATAAACGGGAGAGTTATCCATTTTGATAAAAAGTTTAGAAAGAAACGACTTTTACACTCCAGATACAAACACACACACACACACATATATATATAATATATATAGTGTAAAGGTAGTTTTTTAAAAAAACTCTCTATAAAAATGTGTAAATCTCTCCAGTACGCACAAAGAATTTTGGGAGAATTATCCAATGTCAATAAGTTCGAGCCCACAAACAGTGGACTACACAAGTACATGTAATGGTGAAAACATCAGTACCTCACTATACACACGTAGGGTTTACTTCACACGAAGTCTAGTGTTTCTGTACAGTGTAATGGAGTTACAGAAGCCACACACGAAATGAAGTTTCCTTTCTAGAAAACATACAGAATTAACTCAGAGAGTTATCTATAATCACCACTGCCAGGAAATGTCTGCCATGTGAACCAAAGCTTGGCCCTTGTACAACAGATAGGAAGAGTAGTTGCAGCTGAGGGCAATGTCTGTACTGTGACTTAAGGAAGAGGTTCGCTGCTTGCGGACACTAAGTGACCCCTAATAAACAACCAGGAAATGGTACGTGTCACCACAGCAGCCAACTCCACAACCACACCCTCCCTCGAAGATCTGTTGGTGAAATTAAGGGGGAGAGAAGTCTTGTGCCAGCTCTGAATAAATATGATTCTTTTGAGAACTTGAGTTAGAAACTGTTAATCTAGTTTGCTTGGCCTAACCAATACTTATGTATCTGCACGTGCTTTCACCCTATAGTTTTGTTAGTGTAAATCAGCCGTCTTTAATCTGAATGGAAAAAAAAAGGTCCACTTTTACTCTTAGGTGAAGCTGTAGTAAACATTTTAGACCGATATCTTGTGTAACATTTTGTGCAGGCGTACGTAAACATTTTGGTCAAATTTGGGCGGTTTTTATCGAACATCTTTCCATATGTGGCTTATATTTAGACCTAATTTGACAACTAAATATAGGTTGTAAGGTCTATCAGTGTACCAAATAAAAAAACATCCATTAAAGTATTTTTTTTTCTATCAAATAAAGTTTCCGTGCTTTCGGTGCGAAGAAATAAAAAGGACAAAATTCAATCAAAATTGGAGATATTATATCTCGTATTTATTAATGAACTGCCTTGAAATTTAGTATGTGAAGTAAGGGTGCAGTAAAGCACACCCACCGACAATATGTGATAGTTTGGATTACCACCGTCCGAGCTACAGAAAGTGGAAAATCGCGTAACTATCATTCCTGTTAATAACACACAGTGTGTCCTGCAGGATATTTTTGTCCGCACAATACACCATAATGTGTCTTGATTTACGTTAATAGTATATCCACTTCATATATATATATATATATATATATATATATACACACACACATACTATACATACACACACACACACACACACACACACACACACATA